AAAGGTTCTTCAGCTTCATGCCGCACTTCGACCAGCAGCAGCAGACAAGGACACCTGCGCACTCAACACAGAGCAACGGAGGAAACATGGGATTAGCGCCGATGAGTCTCGACAACTCATCGTTCGGGCGACATAATCAAGTGCCTACCTTTGCGCCTTATCACTCTTCACCGGAGACGTTCGAGTTCATGCCGCCCCGTGCCCAACCAACAGCAGCTGCATCACAACAAACACCAAACGAGATACTTAGTCTCAGGCGCAGTTTTCACACGTGATCAAACTGCAGACATCCTCACCGTTCAACGGACACGACTTCTTTACCTGGAGCTTTGAATTCGAGCTGCTGATGGAGGCTGCGCATCTCTTGGGATACTTCAACGGGTCCCTGCCATTCCCAAGCAACGGCACTGGAAAAGAGCAAGAAATTTTCACGTATCAGTCGCTGCTGGCGTATACAGTTCTCCTGCGGAACCTGTCACCACAAGAACAACAGAGCATCAGAACGTATCGGAGCTACGGAAACTCCGCGGAACTCGCATGGCATCACCTCAAGTGTCTCTATCAAGCAAACGACAGCGTGACACAAAGCAGACTCATGCAGTAGCTGACAACAATACAGATGAAGACCGGGGAAAGGCGATGCAGTATATGAGTCGATGCCAAACACTCCGCGACCGCCTGCTTCGGTGCGGAGGAAAAATCACTAAAGAAAGCTTTGTGACGCTTGTCCTCGCTCGGCTCGGGCCAGAATGGCGAACCACCCGCTCCCTCCTTCGCGCCCACGGACGAATCTCGGAGATGCACCTCTGCGCCGAGCTCCATGCTGAACAACAGGACATGGACCTGTTTGAAGAAAGACAACCAAGGAAACAACAACCATTAGTCTTCTACACTCAACGAAGACACGACAACAACTACAACCGACGCGGCAGGCAAGATCAACGCGACAACAGAGGACTCACCATTGTACCACCGTTCTGCCACAACTGCCAAACATCCGGACACTCCAAAGTCAACTGTACACGTCCCCGAGCTTATCGCCCAGTAGACCCACAAGTCGCTTCCACTCAAGAAAGTCCGCCGAGGCGCTCTCCCACATCTGCACAAAATACACCAAACATCATTAACTGCATGGTACACATTGACAACTGCGCACCCGGATCACCGCCAACTTACGCTCCTGATGAAGAAGAACTACCGCCGCCTTGCTCACAAGGACTTCAGGTCAACCCGACATACGCTGCAGTCGCCAACGCCGAACCCACCGGACGAAACACCTGGTTCTTGGATAGCTGTTGCGGTCAACACATGTGTTCTTCCGGACGCTTCGTGCAACGAGAGCGACACCTCAACCGCGACGTCATAATCACCGTCGCCAACAACGAGAACCTGAAAACAAACAGACAAGGAGTGGTTCAGTTACAGTCCATGGAAACAAATTGTTAGAATATACCATGCTATGCTAGTTGTGTATATTGTGTTTACATCCCTAGTTGGGTGTACACCTGTGTTGGGGTGTCAATCCAACCCAATTGTGGTTGGAGCCCCCAAACACAAGGACCACAATTGTGAGGGCACCACAAGTGGGTTGGCTAAACCACTGGTGGTACACCACACTTGGACCACCTCCAACTGGTGGTCAACCACATTTGGAAGGATCCTCCCTCCCTTGTGATTGGTCCTAACCCCCCTTTCCCTTCCAACCTTCCCTTCCTAGCTCATCCCTCTCTTCCTATGTAATGCCTTTGCTTCATCAATAAACTGAACCTTTTCTGTTTCTAACACAAATGTCATCCTGCAACTCAACAAGGTTCTAATCGTCGACAACTTGGGATACAATCTGCTAAGCGTCAGCCAGCTAATGGCAAAAGGGATTCACTTGGAGTGCGACTCGGACTCCAACGAGTTTCGCCTTTACCACGGGAAGGGCGGCCTCTTCACCGGTCGTGCTCATCTGAAGTCCGGTGTCTTCATGTTGGACTTCGTCCCCGACCGCGGTACTGCCGACAGCGATGGCATCGTGTCGTTCGCAGCCTCGACGCACCCGCCAGATCTTGACCCCGACTTCACCCCAGATGGATTCTGGTACTCCAACACCATACCTGCAGCAGAAAGAACACGAGCGTTAGCAGTCATCAGACAAGAAAGACAAGTACCAGCAAGCGTCCCTTCCCAACCATCACCTGCAGTAGCAGCAGCAGGACCCAGCCGAATACCACGACCGGCGATCCGAGGACCGCCAACCGAAGCAGATCAACTTATCCCCATCACACGAGAGTCTGCCGAAGTCCCGCCACGGTCGTCGCGTTCTTTCCAACACCGACATGTACCAACGCTCGCGCGGCCATCGCGCTTCCGACGACATCTGGCACCAACGCCTTGGGCATCCTGCAAACAGCACGGTACTACAAACCATCCAAGCCGAAGTGTTAGAACGAAACGCTCTCCTTACAACAAGTGGCCAAGAACTACGACGACTCGCGCACGATGCTTCACGTGCCCCGAAGCAGATCTTCCCCACCAACCTTTTACATCGCATCACAATCCGAGCGCACCTGCATACGCACCGATGGAAAAGTTTACAGCGACATCTTAAACATGCCTCGAGACGACACTGAAGCCGACTTCAACTATGTCATCATGTTCATCGATGCAGCAACAAGATTTGGCACTACAACCTCAAAACGCGAGACCAAGCCTTCAAAGCCTTCACGACATGGCTCCCCATCGCTGAACGAGAATCAGGAACTAAGCTAAAGAGTTTCCAATCCGACGGCGCACTGGAATACCAGTCACAACGATTCAGGACCTCCTTGGCGGAAAGAGGAATCAGACGCCTGGTGTCTCTACCCTACGCTCACCAGCAACAGGGGGTCGCAGAAAGAATGAACCGGACCTTACCACTGCTACGGCTGTAGCAGTGGTAAGGCGGCGATGAGCAGGTGCAGGTGAGGAGGCAAAAGATGGGGAAAGATGGCAGTTAGCTGATGAAAATAGGACTTGGTAGAAATTTCAGTAGCACTTCGTGATCACATCCAGGAAAGTCTGCAAACTTCGGAAAGCGATATCTTACAATCCAAGCGATGAAACAGTCCGAAATTTTACGACGTTGTAGCTGACACCAAGAGCGTTCTTTTGCAAGTCGAATCACTCAATTTTGTCAACTATCGAGTGAGCTATAGCGTTTGGCGCATTGGGGGTTTTTGAAAATCCACCCAACAGAAAACTAGTTGAGAGGCGGCGGCTAGGAGTCTAGCAGCGGCGATGGAGGGGACGACAATGAGGTGCACGTCGGAAGGGGACGGGGCGGAAGCGTGGGGAAGGATCGGGATTTAAAAATTGGCGTGAGCCATTATTGCTCTATACCATGTTAGAAACAGAAAGGTTCAATTTATTGATGAAGCAAAGGCATTACATAGGAAGAGAGGGATGAGCTAGGAAGGGAAGGTTGGAAGGGAAAGGGGGGTTAGGACCAATTACAAGGGAGGGAGGGTCCTTCCAAATGTGGTTGACCACCAGTTGGAGGTGGTCCAAGTGTGGTGTACCACCAGTGGTTTAGCCAACCCACTTGTGGTGCCCCCACAATTGTGGTCCTTGTGTTTGGGGGCTCCAACCACAATTGGGTTGGATTGACACCCCAACACAGGTGTACACCCAACTAGGAATGTAAACACAATATACACAACTAGCATAGCATGGTATATTCTAACAGTTGCGACTGACCGTTACAACTGCAAGAATGGTAACCGAAGCGACAATCGAGTCGCTGTGCGACTCGATAAACCGCCATTCAACTGTATTCTATAACTGCTTGTTTTCTACTTTCTATATATTGCTGTATGCTTGTTCACTTTAATCAATCACTTGTTCTCATATACTAGTACAAGGGTTCAACTACTCAACTTCCGCTGCACTATTCCAGTCTCATTCTTCAACTGGGACCTAGTCTCTGGAAAGATCCTAAGGGCTTTTCTTAGCCCAATATGGTATGAGAGCTGGTCAGAGACCAAACTCCCAGCAACTACGCTCTATCCACAATCTGCACACCAACGACTTCATTGATTACAAGTTATGGACAGCAAGGGCAAGAAAATCTATACGGGCTCACCCAGCGCCCAAGACACTCAACCCGGCAACTCTGGATTGCACACTTCAGGACTGCAAACCGAGACCGGCGCTGCTCAAGAAACAACAGGAAGAGCACCGAAAATGGTGACCCCATCACCCTCTTCAAGCATGGATCCGAACCTTATGGAAAGGTTCTTCAGCTTCATGCCGCACTTCGACCAGCAGCAGCAGACAAGGACACCTGCGCACTCAACACAGAGCAACGGAGGAAACATGGGATTAGCGCCGATGAGTCTCGACAACTCATCGTTCGGGCGACATAATCAAGTGCCTACCTTTGCGCCTTATCACTCTTCACCGGAGACGTTCGAGTTCATGCCGCCCCGTGCCCAACCAACAGCAGCTGCTTCACAACAAACACCAAACGAGATACTTAGTCTCCAGGCGCAGTTTCACACGTGATCAAACTGCAGACATCCTCACCGTTCAACGGACACGACTTCTTTACCTGGAGCTTTGAATTCGAGCTGCTGATGGAGGCTGCGCATCTCTTGGGATACTTCAACGGGTCCCTGCCATTCCCAAGCAACGGCACTGGAAAAGAGCAAGAAATTTTCACGTATCAGTCGCTGCTGGCGTATACAGTTCTCCTGCGGAACCTGTCACCACAAGAACAACAGAGCATCAGAACGTATCGGAGCTACGGAAACTCCGCGGAACTCGCATGGCATCACCTCAAGTGTCTCTATCAAGCAAACGACAGCGTGACACAAAGCAGACTCATGCAGTAGCTGACAACAATACAGATGAAGACCGGGGAAAGGCGATGCAGTATATGAGTCGATGCCAAACACTCCGCGACCGCCTGCTTCGGTGCGGAGGAAAAATCACTAAAGAAAGCTTTGTGACGCTTGTCCTCGCTCGGCTCGGGCCAGAATGGCGAACCACCCGCTCCCTCCTTCGCGCCCACGGACGAATCTCGGAGATGCACCTCTGCGCCGAGCTCCATGCTGAACAACAGGACATGGACCTGTTTGAAGAAAGACAACCAAGGAAACAACAACCATTAGTCTTCTACACTCAACGAAGACACGACAACAACTACAACCGACGCGGCAGGCAAGATCAACGCGACAACAGAGGACTCACCATTGTACCACCGTTCTGCCACAACTGCCAAACATCCGGAGACTCCAAAGTCAACTGTACACGTCCCCGAGCTTATCGCCCAGTAGACCCACAAGTCGCTTCCACTCAAGAAAGTCCGCCGAGGCGCTCTCCCACATCTGCACAAAATACACCAAACATCATTAACTGCATGGTACACATTGACAACTGCGCACCCGGATCACCGCCAACTTACGCTCCTGATGAAGAAGAACTACCGCCGCCTTGCTCACAAGGACTTCAGGTCAACCCGACATACGCTGCAGTCGCCAACGCCGAACCCACCGGACGAAACACCTGGTTCTTGGATAGCTGTTGCGGTCAACACATGTGTTCTTCCGGACGCTTCGTGCAACGAGAGCGACACCTCAACCGCGACGTCATAATCACCGTCGCCAACAACGAGAACCTGAAAACAAACAGACAAGGAGTGGTTCAGTTACAGTCCATGGAAACAAATTGTTAGAATATACCATGCTATGCTAGTTGTGTATATTGTGTTTACATCCCTAGTTGGGTGTACACCTGTGTTGGGGTGTCAATCCAACCCAATTGTGGTTGGAGCCCCCAAACACAAGGACCACAATTGTGAGGGCACCACAAGTGGGTTGGCTAAACCACTGGTGGTACACCACACTTGGACCACCTCCAACTGGTGGTCAACCACATTTGGAAGGATCCTCCCTCCCTTGTGATTGGTCCTAACCCCCCTTTCCCTTCCAACCTTCCCTTCCTAGCTCATCCCTCTCTTCCTATGTAATGCCTTTGCTTCATCAATAAACTGAACCTTTTCTGTTTCTAACACAAATGTCATCCTGCAACTCAACAAGGTTCTAATCGTCGACAACTTGGGATACAATCTGCTAAGCGTCAGCCAGCTAATGGCAAAAGGGATTCACTTGGAGTGCGACTCGGACTCAACGAGTTTCGCCTTTACCACGGGAAGGCGGCCTCTTCACCGGTCGTGCTCATCTGAAGTCCGGTGTCTTCATGTTGGACTTCGTCCCCGACCGCGGTACTGCCGACAGCGATGGCATCGTGTCGTTCGCAGCCTCGACGCACCCGCCAGATCTTGACCCCGACTTCACCCCAGATGGATTCTGGTACTCCAACACCATACCTGCAGCAGAAAGAACACGAGCGTTAGCAGTCATCAGACAAGAAAGACAAGTACCAGCAAGCGTCCCTTCCCAACCATCACCTGCAGTAGCAGCAGCAGGACCCAGCCGAATACCACGACCGGCGATCCGAGGACCGCCAACCGAAGCAGATCAACTTATCCCCATCACACGAGAAGTCTGCCGAAGTCCCGCCACGGTCGTCGCGTTCTTCTCCAACACCGACATGTACCAACGCTCGCGCGGCCATCGCGCTTCCGACGACATCTGGCACCAACGCCTTGGGCATCCTGCAAACAGCACGGTACTACAAACCATCCAAGCCGAAGTGTTAGAACGAAACGCTCTCCTTACAACAAGTGGCCAAGAACTACGACGACCTCGCGCACGATGCTTCACGTGCCCCGAAGCAGATCTTCCCCACCAACCTTTTACATCGCATCACAATCCGAGCGCACCTGCATACGCACCGATGGAAAAAGTTTACAGCGACATCTTAAACATGCCTCGAGACGACACTGAAGCCGACTTCAACTATGTCATCATGTTCATCGATGCAGCAACAAGATATGTTTGGCACTACAACCTCAAAACGCGAGACCAAGCCTTCAAAGCCTTCACGACATGGCTCCCCATCGCTGAACGAGAATCAGGAACTAAGCTAAAGAGTTTCCAATCCGACGGCGCACTGGAATACCAGTCACAACGATTCAGGACCTCCTTGGCGGAAAGAGGAATCAGACGCCTGGTGTCTCTACCCTACGCTCACCAGCAACAGGGGGTCGCAGAAAGAATGAACCGGACCTTACCACTGCTACGGCTGTAGCAGTGGTAAGGCGGCGATGAGCAGGTGCAGGTGAGGAGGCAAAAGATGGGGAAAGATGGCAGTTAGCTGATGAAAATAGGACTTGGTAGAAATTTCAGTAGCACTTCGTGATCACATCCAGGAAAGTCTGCAAACTTCGGAAAGCGATATCTTACAATCCAAGCGATGAAACAGTCCGAAATTTTACGACGTTGTAGCTGACAAAGAGCGTTCTTTTGCAAGTCGAATCACTCAATTTTGTCAACTATCGAGTGAGCTATAGCGTTTGGCGCATTGGGGGTTTTTGAAAATCCACCCAACAGAAAACTAGTTGAGAGGCGGCGGCTAGGAGTCTAGCAGCGGCGATGGAGGGGACGACAATGAGGTGCACGTCGGAAGGGGACGGGGCGGAAGCGTGGGGAAGGATCGGGATTTAAAAATTGGCGTGAGCCATTATTGCTCTATACCATGTTAGAAACAGAAAGGTTCAGTTTATTGATGAAGCAAAGGCATTACATAGGAAGAGAGGGATGAGCTAGGAAGGGAAGGTTGGAAGGGAAAGGGGGGTTAGGACCAATTACAAGGGAGGGAGGGTCCTTCCAAATGTGGTTGACCACCAGTTGGAGGTGGTCCAAGTGTGGTGTACCACCAGTGGTTTAGCCAACCCACTTGTGGTGCCCCCACAATTGTGGTCCTTGTGTTTGGGGGCTCCAACCACAATTGGGTTGGATTGACACCCCAACACAGGTGTACACCCAACTAGGAATGTAAACACAATATACACAACTAGCATAGCATGGTATATTCTAACAGTTGCGACTGACCGTTACAACAGCGCGGATGGTAACCGAAGCGACAATCGAGTCGCTGTGCGACTCGATAACCGCTCCTGCAACTGTATTCTACAACTGCTTTACTTTCCTATTTTCTATATATTGCTGTATGCTTGCTTCTTTAATCAATCACTTGTTCTCATATACTAGTACAAGGGTTCAACTACTCAACTTCCGCTGCACTACTCAAGTCTCATTCTACAACTGGGACCCAGTCTCTGGAAAGATCCTAAGGGCTTTTCTCAGCCCAACATGGTATGAGAGCTGGTCAGAGACCAAACTCCCAGCAACTACGCTCTATCTACAATCTGCAATTCAAACGACTTCATTGATTACAATCATGGACAGCAAGGGCAAGAAAATCTCTACGGGCTCACCCAGCGCCCAAGACACTCAACCCGGCAACTCTGGATTGCACACTTCAGGACTGCAAACCGAGACCGGCGCTGCTCAAGAAACAACAGGAAGAACACCGGAAATGGTGACTCCATCACCCTCTTCAAGCGTGGATCCGAACCTTATGGAAAGGTTCTTCAGCTTCATGTCGCACTTCGACCAGCAGCAGCAGACAAGGACACCTGCGCATTCAACACAAAGCAACGGAGGAAACATGGGATTAGCGCCGATGAGCCTCGACAACTCATCGTTCGGGCGACACAATCAAGCGCCTACCTTTGCGCCTTATCACTCTTCAACGGGGACATTCGAGTTCATGCCGCCCCGTGCCCAACCAACAGCAGCTGCATCACAACAAACACCAAACGAGATTTTGAGTCTCCAGGCGCAGTTTTCACACGTGATTAAACTGCAAACATCCTCACCATTCAACGGACACGATTTCTTTACCTGGAGCTTTGAGTTCGAGCTGCTGATGGAGGCTGCGCATCTCTTGGGATACTTCAACGGGTCCCTGCCATTCCCAAGCAACGGCACTGCAAAGGAGCAAGAAATATTTACTTATCAGTCGCTGCTGGCGTACACAGTTCTCCTGCAGAACCTATCACCACAAGAACAGCAGAGCATCAGAACATATCGGAGCTATGGAAACTCCGCGGAACTCGCATGGCATCATCTCAAGTGTCTCTATCAAGCAAACGACAGCGTGACACAAAGCAGACTCATGCAACAACTGACAACAATACACATGAAGACCGGGGAAAAGGCGATGCAGTATATGAGTCGCTGCCAGACCCTCCGCGACCGCCTGCTTCGGTGCGGAGGAACAATCACTGAAGAAAGCTTCATGACGCTTGTCCTCGCCGAGCTCGGGCCAGAATGGAGAACCACACGCTCGCTTCTTCGCGCCCACGGAAGGATCTCGGAGATGCACCTCTGCGCCGAGCTTCACGCCGAACAACAGGAGATGGCCCTGTTCGACGAAAGACAACCAAGGAAGCAGCAGCAGTTAGTTTTCTACACTCAACGAGGGAACGACAACAACTACAATCGACGCGGCAAACAAGATCAACGCGACAACAAAGGACTCACCTTCGTGCCACCGTTCTGCCACAACTGTCAGACCTCCGGACATTCCAAAGTCATGTGCGCACGTCCTCGTGTTTATCGTCCAGTAGACCCACACGTCGCCTCCACTCAAGAAAGCACTCCAAGGCGCTCTTCCATATCTGCACAAGGGACATCGAACATCATCAACTGCATGGTACACATCGACAATTGCGCACCCGGATCACCACCCACTTACGCACCAGACGAAGAAGAACTTCCGCCGCCGCGCTCACAAGGACTTGAGGTCAACCCGACATACGCTGCGGTCGCCAACGCCGAACCCACCGGGCGAAACACCTGGTTCTTGGACAGCTGCTGCGGTCAACGCATGTGTTCTTCCGGACGCTTCATGCAATGAGACCGACGCCTAACCCGCGACGTCATCATCACCGTCGCCAACAACGAAAACCTGAAAACAAACAGACAAGGAGTGTTAGTTACAGTCATGGACAAACTCCATGGATGACACTTAACTCAACAAGTCCTCATGTCGACAACTTGGGATACAACTTACTAAGCGTCAGCCAGCTGATGGCAAAAGGGATTCACCTGGAGTGCGACTCCTACTCCAAAGAGTTTTGCCTTTACCACGGGAAGGGCGGTCTCTTCATCAGTCGTGCTCTCATGAAGTCTGGCGTCTTCGTATTGGACTTCGTCCCCGAACGCGGTACTGCCGACAGTGACGGAATCGTGTCGTTCGCCGCCTGGACACACCCGCCGGATCTTGATCCCGACTTCAACCCCGATGGATTCTGGTACTCCAACACCATACCTGCAGCAGAGAGAACACGAGCATTAGCAGTCATCAGACAAGAAAGACAAGTACCAGCAAGTGTCTCTTCCCAACCATCACCTGCAGTAGCAGCAGCAGGACCCAGCCGAGTACCACCACCAGCGATCCGCGGACCGCCAACTGAAGCAGATCAACTTATGCCCATCACACGAGAAGTCTGCCGAAGTCCCGCCACGGTCGTCGCATTCTTCTCCAACACCGACATGTACCAACGCTCGCCCGGCCATCGAGCTTTCGACGACATCTGGCACAAACGCCTTGGGCATCCTGCAAACAGCACCGTACTACAAACAATCCAAGCCAAAGTATTAGAACGCAACGCTCTTCTTACACCAAGCGGCCAAGAACTTCGAAGACCTCGCGCACGGTGCTTCACGTGCCCCGAAGCAGATCTTCCCCATCAACCCTTCCCATCACATCACAATACAAGTGCGCCTGCATATGCACCGATGGAAAAGGTTTACAGCGACATCTTAAACATGCCTCGAGACGACACGGAGGCCGACTTCAACTACGTCATCACGTTTATCAACGCAGCAACAAGATATGTCTGGCACTACAACCTCAAGATGCGTGATCAAGCCTTCGACGGCTTCACGACATGGCTACCCATCGCTGAACGAGAATCAGGAACAAAGCTCAAGAGCTTCCAGTCAGACGGTGCACTGGAATACCAGTCACAACGCTTCAGGACCGATCTGGCGGAGAGAGGAATCAGACACCTGGTGTCTCTGCCCTACGCTCACCAGCAGCAGGGGGTCACAGAACGCATGAACCGGACCTTGCAGACGACGATGCGGAAGCTGCTCCTGGGAATGAGACTGCCCACCACACTGTGGCCAGACGCGATGACACATGCAGTCCACCTGCACAACCTGTTGTCCTTGTCATCACTTCCCAACAACGCATCACCGCACCTGCTATGGACACGAAAACGGGGCAGCACAAAATTACCTCGAGTTTTCAGTTGCATGGTACAGTACAGACCCACACAGCCAGAGCAGGACGTTTCACCCAACGAGCACGATGGGGGCTACACCTCGGCATTGCACAACATTTTCACGCATGGAAAATCCTCGACCTACAAGACAAAACTACAGTGGCATCACGTGATGTTATCTTCTACGAGCGACTGACGCTGCAGCACTACCTGGACAACATTGCCAACACACATGACCCCACCGACGGCTTCGCGGGCCTTCGTTCCTTCGCCGACCGTGCTGCCAAGGCTGACGCAGCAGAAGAAGACGTACCTGGAGCCTCAAAAGCTGCCGGACCACTCCCTTTCTGTTCCGTACCTGTTCCACTCGACGAAGACAATCCTCTCGATAGCAACAACCTCGACACCCTCTACCACTTCGCTGACCAAGGTTACGCTACACCCCACCCGGTCGACACGAATATCTCAGAACGCATCGGCCCCAACTTCTTACCTAATCCAGAAGATGGTGACGAAGCAGCCTATTCTGGGAATGAAAATTCCCCTCGACACACACCAACGGGACTGCAGATACTCGGCCTATGGGTCTCCGTCCAGCATCCGCTGCCGCCATCTCCGCGCGAGCCCTCGACTCTGTCGCAGGCTCTGGGGGGGGAACATAAGGCGAAATGGAAGGAGGCGATGGAAAAGGAGTTAAAGGCTCTGCAAGACCGAAATACATGGAAGCTGGTACCTGCAACAAGCATCAACGGGAAGAACGTCCTCTCGGGAAAATGGGTGTACCGCATCAAGACCAATGCGGACGGCTCCACCAAACGATTCAAAGCTCGATGGGTCGTACGAGGGTTCGATCAACGATACGGAACCGACTACACAGAAACATTCGCCCCAGTCTCCCGTCACACCTCATTGCGCATCCTACTCGCCGTCGCGGCCACGAAGAAACTACCACTGCGCCAAATCGGCGTCGCAAATGCTTTTCTGTACGCACCTGTGGACGCTGAGATCTTCGTCGAGCAACCCCACGGATTCATCGACGACCCCACGAAAGTATGCCAGCTGATAAAATCCCTATACGGGATCAAGCAAGCCCCGCGGCTCTGGCAGCAGCATCTTCACGGTCGCCTCGTAAAAATCGGATTCCTACAGCTGCCGCATGACCAAGGCATGTACCGACTGCAAAAGGGAAGAGAGTATATCCTACTCATCGTTTACGTCGACGACCTGCTCTACATCGGCTCCACTACCGACATCGCCACCGAGTTCGAAGGGGAGCTGAAAGAAGACTTGACACTCACGGTGTCCGACGCAGTGACCCAGTACTTGGGACTGAATGTCGTCAAAGACAACTCGGCGCTCTACCTACATGCTGGAAAGTACGCAGGCACTGTCGCGAAGAAATTCGGTCTAACGCCGACTACGGTCCCGACTCCCTACCGCTACGGGAACAACAACAGCACCTCCGCAAAACTCCCCGCGAAGCAAATCCAGGAGTATCAGCAGAAGCTCGGCTGCCTACTATTCGCAGCAGTAACCTGCCGACCCGATCTCTCTTACAGCGCGAGCCAACTGGCGACGCATCTGAAGCAGCCGGAACAAGAAAATATCTCGAGGAAATTAATCGGGCACTACTCTACTTCGTCTCCACGCTGACGACCGGGCTCACCTACAACAAAGTAACGACACCGTCCGTACGACTACTCGGATACGTCGACGCCGACCACGCGGGAGACAAGGAAAATCGATGATCGAGAACGGGCTACATCTACCGACTAGAACCTATCGGGACTATCTCCTGGCAGTCGAGCAAGCAGGAACTAATCGCACTATCTTCAGCTGAAGCAGAATATATCGCCCTCTGTACTGCGACCAAGGAAGGACTCTACCTACGAGAGCTGCTAGAGGAAGCAAAGATTGCGACCCTGCCCGTCTTCTCACTCCTCTGCGACAACCAATCTGCGATCAAAATCGCGAACAAGGACGGCTTCGCCAACCAAACCAAACACATCGCCCTGCGGTACTTCTTCGTCAAGGATGAAATCGCGAAGGGGAGACTTCAACTCAGTTACTGCCCTACGACAGAAATGGCCGCAGACTATCTGACGAAGAAATTGGCGAAGGCAAAAATTGATTACTGCATGCTGCTGACCGGGCAGACAAACGTCACCGGATCTGAACACGCCAGCACTCCAGAAACGAAGGGGAGTGTTGGAAATGTCTCAAAGGACTTAAGCGTTTCTGAAGTGTAACACTACACTCGAGGAAGATCGCAACGGGTACGCGAGTCAACGGAGGTTACACGAGGGGATGTGCAAAGAACGCGAAGGGACTTGAAGAGTCGCAACTGGAGGTTGCGACTGACCGTTACAACAGCGCGGATGGTAACCGAAGCGACAATCGAGTCGCTGTGCGACTCGATAACCGCTCCTGCAACTGTATTCTACAACTGCTTTACTTTCCTATTTTTTATATGTTGCTGTATGCTTGTTTCTTTAATCAATCACTTGTTCTCATATACTAGTACAAGGGTTCAACTACTCAACTTCCGCTGCACTAATCAAGTCTCATTCTACAACTGGGACTCGGTCTCTGGAAAGATCCTAAGGGCTTTTCTCAGCCCAACACACGCAACACCCCCAAGCCCTTGCACCCCAGTGTCTTGCAGCAGGTGTGGCTTCTACGCGAAGCGGCGATATCGGCGGCTGGTGGCAGCAACAGCGTCAACGGCAGCTTCTACGACAACGA